AGGGTGGTGAAGAAAAGTGAGGCAAAAGTAACTCTGAAACAATAGTTTGCAGTGGGCCATATGTAACTATATACAGCTATAGATACTTACTTCCAAATATGTCTTCACAGCGCATGGCAGTCTCCCATAAAACTAAAGCCATAGCATATATGTCTATTTGTTTTAGAGCTCCTTGGATATCGTGTAGGTTGACAGCTCCATCAAGTACCTCTGGTGCCATGTACCTTAATGTACCCACCTGAAAATAAAAGGAAAAATTCAATCAAAGAAAAAATTGACCGTTCTATATCATATACTTTATGCAAGGTATGTTATTTATTGGGGAGGAGGGCTGAGGGATTTGCAGTAAACTTGTTTTAAATGGTTGTACCCCTCACCTTCCCTTCACTCAAAAATTCATGACTCTCTTCTTAAGTCCTCAAGAAGCTATTTTTTGTCAACATAAAAAAGTTCAACCCTCCACAAAAGTGGAATTTTAAAAGATGAACTTCCCCTCTTATGCCCCAGCTCTCCCTATTCCCCTATAAAAATATACCTTTCCTTACTGCACAATTTGTATCATTTGGTACCATCTATCAGGAATAATAGAACTGYTTGCTATTTATTTGTTGTTTAAGGATGGAACGCAACAACAGACACCTAATGACCACACCTGATCATCACCTAGGTGGTGGTTATTTTGTGTCCTCCCTGACAAATTTTGGGGTCTTTTTTAATTTCTTTATTTCRTGAAAATGTCAACTTGATATCTTTATTTTCCAAACACGTTTTTCAATGCCTTTCAACAATATTGTAATAGAAATAGTTATTATCCATACCTCAGTTATTAGGGTCCCATCATCTGCTGGTTTTGCAGCAGCAGGTACRTTCATTGCAAACCCAAAATCTGCCAATGCACAAGTGCCATCCAGCTTTACCAGAAGGTTCTTGCTATTGAAGTCCCGGTGCGCAAARGCTGGTCTTGTTCCTGAAATGATATGTAAGACAGAAACAAATAAGGATAGAAACATGAAAAATCGATTCAAGCTATGAAAATACTGTCTGATTGGACATACAGTATAGGCATAATCATAGTTAATAGAGGGGAATGGTTAGGAAACCCTTTTGTTATAAGTCTTTGTTCACTTTTTTAAGCGTGACCGTGCACAATCCTTTGTTTTACCATTGTTTTACGATTGTTGGCAATGGCTGAGTGAACAGACCAAAATCTTTCTTTTGGCTGGTAGTTCAAAAGATTTATAAGAGATATTTGAATATTGCTTACAACAATCGCATAGACAATGTTTATGTTTACTTATTTTGCAATTTTGGATGAGCATAAATCAAACATTGTACAAAGTCAAGACCAGTTCAACCTCACAAGAGAACAAAGGCCTGATAACAATAGGTTTCATAACCATTCCCCTCTATTAACTGTGGCATAACATAATAGGCATAATATAATAGAGACAAGAAGCCAAAACTGAAAAGTTAGTTAAAATAATATTAGGGTGAGGGGGGAGGGGGTGGGGGAATCTTCAATTATTATTTTATTCAAGATAAAGATAATGTCCCCAATAATGAAAACCATGCGAGCATGATTTAGTACTATTTAGTACTATTTAGGTTGTATGATATAAGTGTTTGTACTGTAGCTGCTGCAAGATTGTTTTTTTCCATCACACCCAATCCTCACCTTCTTCTTGGTGAATAAATGCYAATCCTGAGGCCATTGTGTAGCCAAGAATACACATTTCTTTCCAATTTATAACATTACTTTGTAAATAATGTCGCAAAGATCCCCTTGAGTGGTATTCAGTCAGGAGAAGATAGTCAGATGTGCCCTCTATTGGTCTTTCACAGGCATCAATAAACTAACCCAAGCACAAAAATATGTCAAAAACAGACTTGAAAAACAAAATTAAGATTACTGCAATATTTAGGTTTCACATAAATTCAACAAATAGACATCAGTTTTTTATGTGTCTTTCCGCTTATTGACGAGAAATTGTGTCATCACATTGTCAAAGTAGTGTGGATCCTTATTCTACTTTGACAATGTGATGACGCAATTTGTCGTCAATAGTAGGACAGACACATAAAAATCTGATGTCTATTTGTTTTTTAACAAAAACAAAAACATAAAAACTTCTCATTTTTAGTGATCAAAAAAAAACTAACGGAAAGAGCGCACGCTCGTTGATGTCAGCTTTGTCTGTCTGTCCTCTTATTGATGATAAAAATAACCAATCAGCGCATGAGAAATTTGTAAGTTATTGTAAGAAAAAACCTTTAACTGAACTTAATGAGATAGGGATGTRTAAAAGTTCTGTTCTATTCTGTAGATGAGTTGCTAACTGCATCTGTCAGGCCATAATGACTATTGCTACATATAACAGACAATAGTCAAGAGCTTAGAACACGCAGAACAATATGCTGCAATAATGTAAAAAGAAACCTGAACACAGCAAGAGTAGTGTTGTACTTCTATCAATACCATCTCTCATATTTGTTAGGAGACTTTCCAATAACAACCKTGTTGAAAGTAATGCTATAAATTAACTATTAAAGGATAAAATTCAAGATCAGCAGCCCAACTGATGCCCTGTTAACAAACTGTCAGCCATTTTTCTACCATTTCACAGCAATTTGTCAACTGTTTATTCGTGTTAGATGGCAGACCAGCAGCCTATTATTTGCCAATCTCATAACACTGAGTAGGCTATCAGCCATGTAACAGTTCAACAAAATGGTCTTGCTAGTTCATACCTTGAGTACAAAGGGGCTTGTTTTCATTCCTAAACATTCATAAAATTCTTTCTCAACTTGCCAGTAAAATYTATTTTCCGGTGAAAACACTTTGACAGCAACAACTTTTTCATTCAAAGTAGCTTTCCAGACAGTACCATAGCGCCCTTGTCCAATTAGCTCTCTAAGCTTCAGCTGAGCCAGGTCAAGACTAGAGTTTTGAGGTTCGTTTTCTTCTGGGTCAGCTTTTGTATAAATAAGGAGGTTTGACTTGTTCTTTTTGTACAAACAGTAATAGCATGTTAAGCCAGTGGTAAGCATAGTCATTGCTGCTAGYGTAACACCAACAATCATTTTTATTCTCTGTTTGGAGTTATGTTTTTGTCCTAAAAATGAAATGGAATGAAAAGAATCTTAATCAATTAAGCATGCACATAACAGCAATTACTAACAACCAACTCACGCAGTAAGAAACTTTCAATTATTTTCACCTGATTATGGACGACCAAGTTCAAATGAAGATAAATAAAACACCTATAAATTCTCCCTTTCTTTACACACAGAATATCATACCTGGTCTTTTAGTTGGTGAAGGTGATGCATCAAGATCATATTCTGTCATTGTAAAGTTTTTATTGCAGTAATTTGTGTCGCAGCAACAAAAACCAGATATGTTCTTGACCCTGGCCATGGAATCAAATGCAGGGCGCTGAATGCATTCATGTCCACAAGGGTGTTCAGAATCAGGTAAGGAATATGAAATCCTAAAACAGCCTTTCCGTATAATCYTGGTAACTGTGGTATTATCTGGTAACTTCCTGTTTGACCAGACTGCAAAGCAGTAATAGTCTGGTTCCGGACATACTTCTGTACCATTACCACTCATGTCATTTTCAGAATGATGCATGCATATCCTGTTTTTGGAAGACATACCAAGTGCACCTGGAAATGGAAAGAGAAATATTATTTTTTTCCAGTTGGGTATCCTAAGGATCATGCATTCTGATTAGCTGTGCAAGCGGCAGCATTTTTTATCTTTGACCTCAGTCCAGTATCATGGGATAACCCATTGCTAAACAACATAAAACATTTCAAAATATAAAAAGAAAATGGGAAAAAGGGTTATTTAGTCATTATAGTCATTTCTTTGCGTCTAAAGTTTTTAACTTATTTGCGTTTCTCTTACTTTATTTGCCTCAAGTTTTACATAAACATTTCTAGAGATAAGAGTTGTGTTTTTTGCTCAACAATTTGGAAAACTAGCAAATATTTCTTACGCAAATCTGTGCTTTATAGTTTGCCGATTCATTGATGAGTCCTAACACTCTTGTTGTCATCACACAACACTTACCAAATTACTCATTCACTTCTAAAGTTTTCAGTGTTTCTCTTACTTTGTTTGCCTTTCTATTCATATAAAACTTTTATTCTTTACACAAGAACTTTTTTTTTCTTCCTTTTTTACAATGCATTTGATATGTAGGCGAACTTCAGTAGGCAAAACTTATACATAGGTGAACTTCAGTAGGTGAACCAATGCATATGCCAAACAATTGTAACCCTGGAAAAATGTGCTTTTATTGGATAAGCTACTAAAAGTCTAATTCTAATAACCAATATTAAAGTGCCTATGACACTTATTCTTGTTATACCAAAATATGTCTTTCTAAGATGCATGTGGATGCTTCTTTAAATTCCCAGTTTCCAAAACATGACCAAGTGAAATGGTAGACTAGACGGGGCTTGTGACATCAAAGGAGCAACATGCTCTTCTAGAGTTTTAAAAACAATTCAGAAACCCTTCCTTCCTATCTTAAGGTTTTTAAAGTAGTTTTTTAACCCTTTATTCCCTTTTCAGGGAGTGTAAGTATGCAAGATTGATATATAAATATTCAGGTTAGGGGTTTTTCAGGATCTGTGGCATAATTCATTACAGGTGTTTAAAGTGAGAACACAACCAACTGAAGCAATTTAAATGTTTGAAGTCATTGAAACTCAACATGAATTCACTATTTTGAGGACTAGAATTGGCAGTAAATGCATCCAAAAGCATGGGTGACATGTTTTTTTGGGGAAAAAAGGAAGTATTAAATTACTGCTWGTCATAATGTCTCTGGCTTTAATATTCACTCACAAACTATTTACTTACACTGTGAAAAAAGCAAATATTCTATAAAATGTGTCTGGAAATGTTATTCAACTTGTCTTCATTCAACCTGAGCGATAAGAGTACTAACAAATTATTGTTTGGTGATTTTTCTATATAAATCCAAAGAATTTACTTGAATGCCGTAAAGGATTTATTTTAAGTTTGTTCTCATCAAAGAAATTTAGTGTTGTAGAGATATTTTCTTACTTTTCTTTAAACAACTTTTAAACATACATAAATAATGTATTTATTAACTTCAAATTCACCATAGAAGCAACAAAATTCATCTAGAAATGACAAAATTGGGGTTCATTTTAGTTCAAAAGATATATTTCATGGATTTGGTGATTTTTTCTGTATTTTTTATTTGCAAAGTAAGGTTGTTATGTTTGGTTGTTATGTCATCCTGCATTTCCCCCGTATAATTTGCCATTTTCTCTGCACAATCTGCATAATTGTCCTGCATAATGTGAACTTTTCCCCCACATTCAGTCAGAAGCCCTGTTTTTATGATTCTTATGACAGTTCATTTATAGTATTCTTCTATAGCTTAGGAGTCTGTTTTTTATTTTATTTTGTATGATGCAATCTAAATTCATCTTTCCTCGATTGTTCTGGTATAAATGATCCGAAGGTCAAGCTATGTGCTAGTGTGAGCATGCTCAGATCAGTGCTAGACATCATCCCACATCAAACATTGAGATTCCAGTTCATAATATAAATAACTTGTCAACCCTTTATTGGATAAGAACTTTGTGTTTGTAATCAGATGACATAAGACGATTGATAAACATTTAATTATCGATGATCTGCTAATATCTTAGTGATGGCTAGAGTGAGTGAGTGACACATCTGCATATTCAGACCCCTCATAATAAMTCATTTCTATGCTTCGCAGCATATCCAGGAATTAATTAAATGTAAATTCCAATTCAAACTTTGGGCTTTCACCTAGTTTGGAGCCTAGCTCTGTTGTGGTAGAAATGGTACTCCTTAATAATGTTAGGGCTGCTTATCTATGCTCTTCTTTTCTTTGGGGCAGGATTTGAGCCTAAATTTGAGACAGGATTTGAGTCASACAATAAAAATTTTACCTTAGTCCTTAACTAAGTTTTTGCATTAAATTGTAAGTGTTTTTCGTGCTCACTGAGTATGGTATTTTGTACAATCATGGCATAGAAATCCCATACTAAATGTCCTTCAGATAAATTCTTAGTCAATACAAAGGGAAATTTATGAACAATCCCAACTAGAGCTTGTCCTAAATTGGTTTCCTGATTGGCTTTAGATGGCATATACAAGAGGGTGTTTCATGTGAAATCATATTTTTTTAAACAAGGAACCCATATTGAATTTTGCACTAAATATCAATTTTTGTTCATTCTTTTTCATCATAACGCYAAATAAATGTGAAAACTACTTACAGAAAAAAGAAACTAATAAAGACAACTACTGCACAAAAATAAATTTAAATTAGATTAAAATTGAGGAGTTTTAAAAAATCACATGAAGATACAGGAAGCCTGCACTGTTGTTTTGGTCTTTTTGTCAGCCTATAAATTGCCAAACTTGTGTAAATAAATCTATTCATAATCTTTTTGTTATGGGATACAAGTAAAATTCGTTGTCTGACTTGGGAAACTACCCCAGACATAGATGGGATTTGCAAGACTAGCAAACTCTTGCCAAACAGCAAATTTTCTATTATTTTCTAATCACATTTCTATTTCTTCTGTGATGTAAGTTATGGGCTGAGACTTCACATTACTAGTATTGAAGTGCTCTTATAATTTCTGATGTTCCTTTTGCCATGACTGTTTAATTTGTGGGGGATAGGGTCACAAGACCTGTCAATGCAAAAGGTCCTTTGGGTCTTCTGGGGTCAAATCCCTGTGAAACACTCCGCAGATGCATTTATGTATGGCATTGAAGCGCTGAGATATATATACTGAACMACAAAACGAACCAAAAATAAGAACGTATGAAAGAATCCTTTCATTTTCCTGAAAACCTACATTCAAGTTCTATAAATTAAAACAGACTAGATACTGGCAAATACAGGTGGCAAGACTTTACTTAGGAATAATTAAGGAGCATTGTACAGGTAATTTATACATATTTACTTGTGAAAAATAGGTGACAGTACCGATCAATCCAATATTTTGCTATCAACTTCTTGCATGTTAGGATTAAAATCAGACTTGGCGGCTTTCGTTCTTCTTTGAGTTGGACAATTATATAAATCATTTCTTCATYCATAAGTCATTCATGTAGTCAACTAGTTTAATGAATAGGTTTAGGTCTTAAATAAATCAAATTCTTACCGTCCATTGCGGTGATGATCAAACTTCCAAATATCCCAACCAAGATAAAGACAAATGCAGACATATCCGTCATTATGAACATTTCATTATTCGTCTAAAATAGGGAAGAAAATGGGGGTTATTTTGCATGTATGTAATGCTGTAATACTCGATGAAATAAACTTGTTGTTTGAGAATAAGTCACATATTACAAAAGTTTCTGMTAAAGTATCACTGAAAATGTTTGATTTTATTGTGGATGTTCAGTCGTCTGTCAGTCTGTAACGATGAGCGTCGTTTGAAAAACTAAACCGAGAAAGAGCAGAAGATTCTAGGGCCGAAAACATGGGAAACAGTTAAACAGTTTACACCAACCAATTACTCAGGCATYATTTTCAAGTTATTACCCTATTTTGTAGTTCAAAAGAGGGAAACTAATATCGTGAAGATTCGCCAAACATGCGTGAAGCTACAGACGAAAGTCAGGACTGAACACTTTGACTAAACCCTCCTTTTCTTGTCTCTCAAACAACCAGAAATTACCTCATACCTCGTGTTTTTAAGAGAAGTTAAAATTGTAGTCCATATGAGAAAAATCCTCCCAAGAAAGCGTGTATTTGATCTCAAGCTAATGCCTTTATTTGATGCGATGCCTCGATGGCCGCAAATCAAGCTGAAGTTGGAGTCTCTCTGTCTGGCAGTCATGGATATAAACCAATCACAAGCCGCGTAATAAATACCTTGCTGTGTTGTGTCTGACTCTGTCTAATGAACGACAAGCAGCTGATAAAACGAGACAGATACGGTTCGGGGGGGGCGGGGGTATAATGGGGATAGGCAGGAAGTTGGGGAAGAGGGAGGGGGTATTTCTAAATTCAAATAAGCCTTCATGAAGCTTCATTTTTTGCCGGGGAGGGAGAAGGAGCGGTGAGATTCGCTTGCTCTAACCCTCGATCACTAGACCAGAACTATGTCCCCGCTCTTCATTAGTGTTGCATTATAGCTGTAAAAAATTGCCCCTCCTTTATTTCCATTCTGTATTTTGTAAAACTGCTATGCAACTAGGATTTTCTTGAAAGCCCCCTTTTTTAATGGCTCCACTTAAATCCCTCGGGTGTCAAGACATTCTCCTCCATACCTTACTGGACTGGACTGGACTTATTATTCATCACAGCTAAAACCTGCTGGCTAAAACCATTTGTRTTTTCTTTGGGTGTTATGAAACAGAAAAAGCCCCGAAGCGGCAATTTAGGATCTGACGCTACGGATCTAACTAAAAGCCACCGTGAAGTTGCTTGAAATGTATGATATATACATATATATTMTTATTTCTGAAAGTACTTTTTAGGAAGATATTCATGCGTGCGGGCTGCAAATACAAGGAACTGAATGAGAGAGAATGGCTTGAGTTTACAGCCACAACCAGCCGTGCATGATTTTTATTTGCAATATAACAAAGACATTACTACAAGCTCATGAATATCCGTGAAAAATGGTATTTCATTTTTAAATATTTACTATATTATTTTACTCAGTTTTACCCCGATTTTTGATTTTTTCGCGGGACGCGGGATTTCGGGAATAAATAGCTCGTGATTCGGGAGCCGGGCCGGCTTTTCCTTGTAGACCCTTGGTGAATGTGCAGTGCAAATTACATCACAATACATTATTGGGCTGGATGACCGTGTAATTATTATTCAGTTTTATCGCTGGCTTGTATGGTCCCCCAAGTGCACAACTTTATAAGTCAWTTTTGAAAAGAAAAACATATGTGGAAAAAAGCAAGGTAAAACATGGCATGTTGAAAGATACGCAGGATAATGACCTCTAGCCCATTACGACTAATTTAAAAGTTTTAAGATTACTTAAATTTCATTGCCTCTCTTAGATTTAATTTTTTTTAGCTCTAGTTTTATTGATTGCTGACTGTGTCAGTTTTTTTTCTCGTCTACTCTTCCATTTTCTTCATCTTCTTTTTTGGACCCTGTTTCGTTACCAAATAAACCTCCCATGCCGAATGGCAAAGCAACATTTGGTAGCAAACCAAGCAAGCCTTCATCCTCGCTCTCTTCCTCCTCCTCCTCCGTACTCGCGTACACTGGAATGGCCTTCATTGCTGTTTGCAAGTTCGTTTTACCAGGAACAATATTTARTAGTTCAAGACAATGCCACATCTCGATTTCCTGGTCTTTTTCGAGGGCCAGTTTCCAATGATGGAAATAGGTCCCAACAGCATCACCACCGATACATACCTCTCCAAGAATAGCTTTGCGACCAACGTAAGGACAATCTTTCACTCGAATAATAAGATTCACCTGTTCGATAATGCTTGAAGGAACGTCCAGGAGGAATCGTTCRTTGAATTTTGGCTCAAAGTCTTTTCGTCGAACTTTTGTTTTCTTCTCGTAGATTTGATTAGAACCATGGACGAGGTGAACCTTGACGTAAGCACCTTAGAGAAAAAAAGACATCAGTTAAGGAAAAGTATATATATCACCTATCCTTTGAGGAACTTCCTAAAAAATATTGCATAAATTGCCATTAATTGTGACATCTTTCAGAGCTCGTTTTTTAAACCTTCTAGCTGATGAACTTACTCGTAAACCTTCGTCCAATGGCTGGCTTCAGACCTTTAATTTCTTTAATCTCGACCAAAAGTTGACCTTCGCCGCGAAAGTATCGCAGGATGACGTTGATATCACCTCGCTCTGCTCCCCGAATCTACAACAACACCATATATGTGTAAGAACAAGGACCACACCAGGCAAAGACTGGAAAAGTGGGGAGGGGGATATATATTGAAAGAAATTCAAAAGATATATATGCAAAAGGCAACTGAAAAAGGGGGCCCTCCCCCTCCGCGGTTCCAGTAAAGAACTGCTCGCATCATTGTGGTGGTGATTTAGGTTAATTTATGTCAACGCGCAGGTAAATCGGCATGAAACAGAGCTCAAATACTCACTGATTCTATCCACTCAAGGGATCCACTATATTTGTTGTTTTTGTTCTTTATGTTAGTATTTTGRAGATTCACATGATATGAACCAATCAGATCACGCGGTGAAATCTGATTATAGTCACAGACGTGTAAATATAGCTTTTGATCCTTAACTTCATCTCTGGACATCTTGATATGAACCTGAAAGATAAATCCGGAGAAATAAGGCTGCGTTCATAATGTATGG